TAGGGAGTGATTTTCATGTACAAGTTTGATACTGATCCCTCTTAAGATTTTCCAAGTGTGTATTTTCATGTATCTCTCTCACCTGCATTTCAGTTAGGGAATATAAACAAACAGCCTTCCTCACTGTTCACTGTATGTAGACACGCACCCTATGATTTATTTCCCTCAGCGCATCTCTCTCGGTTTTTTCCTCATCGCTCCATCTCATCTCTGGATAATATTTAACATGGCATCCAAATGAAGTGCAGGTGATGGTGGTGAAACAAGGAGGAAAATTAAATACAAAACTGTGCCTGTTTAATCCTTTCAGGGTTTCGGCCGTACTAGTATGGCTTACGCACCAGGATTTTTGACGTACTAGTACGCCTAAATTGTAGCGCCCTCAAATCTAGTGAGAGAAAGCTGGTAGGCCTACATATGAAAGAATGGGTCTATTTGGTCAGTGTGCGCAGTATAAAAAAAATCCTGCAGCACACAGTGTGTAATGAGAAAAAAAAAACTTTGACCATGTTTTTGGATTAAAACAGCGCCTTTGCACTGTATTTTCGTATGGTATTTATTGTTGTATTCTAGTTTTCCTGGTCTCATTTTATAGAATGGAAGACATATTACAGAAATTGAGACGATTTTGACTGGTTTTACAAAGAAAAGTACCTTGAAATTGAGCTCAAAATAGCAGAAATGTTCGATTTTTACCAAATATCGAAAGTAAACAAATCATGCTATGCGTCCATTACACATCAACTGGCAAGTCTGATATTCTTTCACAAGTGTGCTGATATTATTTATACCATTTCTACAACAATGCAGTAGTCTGCATAACAGTAAATCTTCTATTTCATTGTGAGAATAAAAATTCAAAGTGGAAAGCAAAAGAATGTAAGAGGGGCCTGGGGACGTGACTAATGAACAGAGGAAATGTTATTTTAGTGCCAGGAATGTCTTTCTTGTTTATTCTGGACCCTATTCGAAATTGGCATCTTTTGAAATTTGTGTGAAATTGGCAAAATTGATAAATTCTGACCACTGTATTGGATAGTTGAAATCGATAAATGGCTGGTTTCTTGTACTCATTCGATAGAAAAAATGAAGTTCTAGCGAAATAGTTCTGATTTTTGTCAACAAGTACACTGGAATTGGCCAAAAATAGGGCTCAAAGTGGGCAAAATCGCCAATGCGTAAACATCGTCGAGACCGCTAACTTCGCGAGAGCATAATTCCGTAAGTTTTCCATCAAATTTCATACTTTTGGTGTCATTATGACCGGGAAAAGATTCTCTATCTTTTCATAAGAAAAAATTTTTTTTTTTTTTTTTTTTGAAATTTTGCCGACCCTGAGAACAAGTCTCTGAGAGGGCCTGTCGACCCTGAAAGGGTTAAAAGAAAAATGGAGATAATTGAGATGCTCGAGGGTGGTGGATGTGTTATGGAGATGGCATGAGTGTTTTGTCTTAGAGAATCAACAATTCAGCTTCAGCCCAGCAGGGCCACAACCACCCTCCCCACTCTCAACAGGATGTTAAAGATTCCCAACCTGACTTGAAGATAAGTAATAAATACTGTACAGTATTAAAGTAACCATTTCTTCGCTACATGTACTCTTCCTTTTCACAGCTGGAATCTCACTAGAGTTCATGTATTTCACAGAGCATCCTCATCGACAAAGTTACATAGAAAAAAGTATTTTATTTTTCAAAAAATTACAATAGTAAAAAAAAAATTTACGAAGGTGTGAGGAATGTGACCCTATTTTCCTATATGTTTTTCATTCCATATACGTAGTAGTAGTGGGTTGGTAGACAGCAACCACCCAGGAGGGTACTACCGTCCTGCCAAGTGAGTGTGAAACGAAAGCCTGTAATTGTTTTACATGATGGTAGGATTGCTGGTGTCTTTTGTCTGTCTCATAAATACGCAAGATTACAGGTATGTCTTGCTACTTCTACTTACACTTAGGTCACACTACACATACATGTACATGTTTATTTATACACACTCATCTGAGTTTTCTTTGATTTTATCTTAATAGTTCTTGGTCTTATTACTTTTCCTTTTATATCCATGGGGAAGTGGAATAAGAATCTTTCCTCCGTAAGCCATGCGTGTTGTAAAAGTCAGCTAAAATGCCAGGAACAATGGGCTAGTAACGCCTTTTACTGTAATATATACTAAAAAGAATAAGAAGAAGAGAATTGTCAAAGTGGGAAGTCTGAATGTGCATGGATGTTGTGCAAATGATAAGAAAGAGATGATTGTGGATGTTATGAATGAGAAGAAGCTGGATGTCCTGGCTTTAAGTGAAACAAAGCTGAAGGGGTGGGAGAGTTTCAGTGGAGAGGAATAAATAGGATTAGGTCAGGGGTTTCAAATAGAGTTAGAGCTAAAGAAGGAGTAGCAATAATGTTGAAGGATAAGTTATGGCAGGAAAAGAGGGACTATAAATGTATTAATTCAAGGATTATGTGGAGTAAAATAAAGATTGGATGTGAAAAGTGGGTTATAGTAAGTGTATATGTACCTGGAGAACAGAGAGGTGTTGAGGAGAGAAAGAGATTTTGGGAAATGTTGAGTGAATGTGTGGGGAGTTTTGAACCAAGTGTGAGAGTAATGGTGGTTGGGGATTTCAATGCTAAAGTGGGCAAAAATGTTGTGGAGAGAGTAGTAGGTAAATTTGGGGTGCCAGGGATAAATGAAAATGGGGAGACTTTAATTGAGCTATGTATAGAAAGAGGTTTGGTAATAAGTAATACATATTTTATGAAGAAGAGGATAAATAAATATACAAGGTATGATATAGCACGTAATGAAAGAAGTTTGTTAGATTATGAATTGGTGGATAAAAGGTTGATGGGTAGGCTCCAGAATGTACATGTTTATAGAGGGGCAACTGATATATCGGATCGTTATTTAGTTGTAGTTACAGTTAGAGTAAGAGGTAGATGGGAAAAAGAGGAAAATGGCAACAACAAGCAAGAGGGAGGTGAAAGTGTATAAACTAAGGGAAGAGGAAGTTCGGGTGATATAAGCAACTAGTATTGGCAGAAAGGTGGGCTGGTGCAAGTATGAGTAGTGGGGGGGGGGGTTGAAGAGGGTTGGAATAGTTTTAAAAATGCAGTATTAGAATGTGGGGCAGAAGTTTGCGGTTATAGGAGGGTGGGTGCAGGAGGAAAGAGAAGTGATTGGTGGAATGATGAAGTAAAGGGTGTGATAAAAGAGAAAAAGGTAGCTTATGAGAGGTTTTTACAAAGCAGAAGTGTTATAAGAAGAGTAGAGTATATGGAGAGTAAAAGAAAGGTAAAGAGAGTGGTGAGAGAGTACAAAAGGAGAGCAGATGATAGAGTGGGAGAGGCACTCTCAAGAAATTTTAATGAAAATAAGAAAAAAATTTGGAGTGAGTTAAACAAGTTAAGAAAGCCTAGAGAACGAATGGATTTGTCAGTTAATAACAGAGTAGGGGAGTTAGTAGATGGGGAGATGGAGGTTTTGAGTAGATGGCGAGAATATTTTGAGGGACTTTTAAATGTCGACGAAGAAAGGGAAGCGGTAATTTCATGCACTGGCCAGGGAGGTATACCATCTTTTAGGAGTGAAGAAGAACAGGATGTGAGTGTGGGGGAGGTACATGAGGCATTACGTAGAATGAAAGGGGGTAAAGCAGCTGGAACTGACTGGATCATGACAGAAATGTTAAAAATGGGGGGGGGGGGGGGGAGTATAGTTTTGGAGTGGTTGGTATTTTTGTTTAATAAATGTATGAAAGAGGGGAGGGTACCTAGGGATTGGCAGAGAGCATGTATAGTCCCTTTATATAAAGGGAAGGGGGACAAAAGAGATTGTAAACATTATAGAGGAATAAGTTTACTGAGTATACCAGGAAAAGTGTATGGTAGGGTTATAATTGAAAGAATTAGAGGTAAGTCAGAATGTAGGATTGCGGATGAGCAACGAGGTCTCAGAGTGGGTAGGGGATGTGTAGATCAAGTGTTTACATTGAAGCATATATGTGAACAGTATTTAGATAAAGGTAGGGAAGTTTTTATTGCATTTATGGATTTAGAAAAGGCATATGATAGAGTGAATAGGGGAGCAATGTGGCAGATGTTGCAAGTATATGGAAGAGGTGGTAAGTTATTAAATGCTGTAAAGAGTTTTTATGAGTATAGTGAGGCTCAGGTTAGGGTGTGTAGAAGAGAGGGAGACTACTTCCTGGTAAAAGTAGGTCTTAGACAGGAATGTGCAATGTCACCATGGTTGTTTAATATATTTATAGATGGGGTTGTAAAAGAAGTAAATGCTAGGGTGTTCGGGAGAGGGGTGGGATTAAATTATGGGGAATCAAATACAATATGGGAATTGACACAGTTGCTTTTTGCTGATGATACTGTGCTTATGGGAGATTCTAAAGAAAAATTGCAGTTTGGAGGGATATGTTGTGTATCTTTGTATATGTATACAGTATGCTTCTAAACTGTTGTGTTCTGAGCACCTCTGCAAAAATAGTGATTATGTGCAAGTGAGGTGAAAGTGTTGAATGATGATGAAAGTATTTTTTTGGGGGGGATTTTCTTTCTTTTTGGGTCACCCTGCCTCGGTGGGAAACAGCCGACTTGTTAAAAAAAAAAAAAAATACGTACATCTCAGAAATCACTGCTAGTGCAGATTTCAGGAATATAACCTTCAGGAATTATGAATGTCCATTGTATATATAATACTTTATTATAGAAGTTTACAGGATACATTGATGTTACAAGGAGGTTATTAGCATAAAATGCAAAATACTAAAAATTTAAGTGACTTGTAGTTTTGTTTTCTTTAAATTTGTATTATGTATATATTTTAGAGTACTGTATGCATTTGTGCGAGGCAATATTAATCTTTTTTTTCTTTTCAGATTGTATGGTACAGACTTGGTGACCTTGATCCAAAATTTAAGAAACTCATCTATTTTAACACCTTATGCATTATATTACTCTGTATTTGTGGAAATATTTTTTTCCATAAATGAAAGTGCAAACTATCATGCAGTCAACTATACTACAGTTTGTATGAGTTTCCAGATTTTTCTCATAGCCTTGGTGAGAACAGGTTTTGCAATTAGTTTCTGCATTACTGAATATGCATTTATTATTATCATAGCAAATTATCTTTTGGGTTGAGAATTAATCTCATAAACAAGTGCAGAATTTTCAGTTAAAAGGTGATGAATAATTAGGTATTTATTTAATTTGTATATAATTTTGAAATTATTGAACAGTTTAATAGGAAAATGCTTTACTTTTAACCTTAAAGTGCCTAGAGTATTTTTTCTCCACAGTGCTGTACAGTGTTGCCAGAAGTGTTCATATATACATGTATATTGTTGTATATGGAAAGAATTAAACTAAGTACTGAAATGAAGAAAAAAAGGCCAAGCTAATAAGGTTGTACAGAGAAAGATCCAGAATCATGAAATTAGAAAGTGGTAGCGAAAATTTGTGCCAAGGTTGTATGATGTTAGGACACAGGTACCAGCTGTGTCACATTACATTGGAGGATGTTGGAACAGGTTAGTGAAGTACAGTATAGTATTTAAGAGCCATAGACACATCTTACACATAGACAGTGCTATATTGTAATCTCTTTTTATAACTTAACATATGTGATTTTACTTTGTGCAAAATGTTTTTACATATGAAGTGTGTTCATTGACAGAAAAATTATAGTGAATTGTTATTTTTTAAATTGAGTATATTTATAGACACAAGACTAGGCCAGTCTATGGTAGCTTGCTACATTTATTTTTTATAGTTTTCTGTACCAGTTTTTCTTTGATATTATTATACTCCAGTATATACTGTTTTATTAATATCCATTTTTTAAATATACAGTCCATTATACTTTAATCATTGGGATTGTACATTTAAAGTCTATATATCTGGAAAATATTATAATTAAATAGGATAATAAGGAACTTAGATATCTGAATAATGTGATACTCTTGCATAGTTGGAATGTAATACAATTAAAATATATATGTCTTAACAATGTTGTCAAAATGTAGGATGTAAGAGAAAATTTCATTTAACGTGCCTATTTTATGTGATGTAATCAAGTCATCAAAGTTGTTAGTCATTCCAGATTTCATATATTGAGAAGAGTTGCATTGTTCACTACACTGAATTTGCTTTTATGAAGGGATTCAGGGTAACCTGGTTGGCTGGACTGAGTACTGGAGGTGGGAGAAACCAGCTAGCCAGATCTGGGTTCTGGAGCAGATTAGTAATAATGATATTCATAGTGCAGGTACAATACTACCTGCACTCTGAATATCATTATTACTTGAAGGGTTATTGGAATTTTGATGTCTATGCACTTCTGGAAAGATAGTTGAGGGATGAGTAATAGTGATTTTTTTTTTTTTTTGATCAACCTACCTTTATGAAAAATGTCCATAGTGTTAAAACTTATTGCAGATAAAAAATTACTTGTTTATTTCTGAAGCAATGAAGAAAGTAATTAAATTGCATAGGGTATCAGTAATTTCAGTTTGCCAGCAACATTTGTGATCTAGTGTAGAGATTGAAGCTGGGATTAGCAACAATATGATTTCATCATTTATATACTGGATAGAGTTATTGTCACACAGTGTATTAGTGCATCATAGTTGGTTAATATTTTTGTTTCACAGCACTATGTTGTCAGGATGGTTAATGTCTTTGTTTCACAGCACTGTCATCATAATGGTTAGTGTCTGTTTCATAGCACTATGTTGTGAAACAATTATATTGTCTTTGATTTACTGTATATTTAGTTTAGTTATTGCGTTGACATATAGGTCACTGTGCCTTAGGGTTTCTTATCTTATCACAACCCAAAAAAAAACTTAAATTTCCAGAGTTGTGTACTTGTTAATAGAATCATCTCCGCAACTCGTAATTCCTAGCACAAGTATGTGTACTGTGTAAAATGTATTACAAACACTCAAAAATTAATAAATATATACAGTAGTCCCTCTGTATCTGCAGGGGTGCATTCCAAGACCTACGGAGGATACCTGGAACCCGGTTAGTAGCAAAGCCTATATACAGTAGTCCCCTCCCCTCCCCATATCTGCAGGGAACATGTTCCAAGCCCCATCATGGATACCCAAACCACAGATAGTAGCACTATATATAAGTTGTTTTTTCATTTACATGAATACCCATGATAAAGTTTAATTGATAAATTACATACAATAAGTCGAGAATTAGCACTTTTTCAATGATGGGAAGCACTTCACAGCTTCTCTTAGGCTTTGAAGAACTGCTGCCATCATAATTTTGTGTTTTGAGGCCATTATTAACCCGTAAACGGTCCAAACGTATACTATATACATTTTTACCGCTAGTGCCCCAAACGTATATATACGTTTTTTTTGTCATATAGTATTCTACATTGCCACGATAAGCCTGAGTCGCCTAGACGTGAGAGAATGGGTGTGTGCACTCACTGTGTGCCATATTAAAATAATTGGGGATGCCTGGGTACCATATGCTCTCTTTTCCTATTAAAAAAAAGATTTCTTTTTTTTTCTCAAAAAAGTTGAGGCACTACGGTAGAGAACGTATATATATGTTTGGACCGTTTATGGGTTAAGCAAAATTAAAGGTTAATTTTGGGCCATGGTAAACAGCAGAACCAAATCCATGGATACAGGGGTTCTATATGTATGTATGTATGTATGTAAGAAGTACAATGCCTGCACTTTAAAGGGGAGTTTGGGATATTGGCTGTTTGGAGTGACATCTAAACTGTTGTATCTGAGTGCCTCTGCAAAGACAGTGATTGTGTGTGAATGATGGTGACAGTGTTTCTTTTTTGGGTCACCTTTCCTTGGCGGGAGACAGCTGACATGTTGAAAAAATATATATGTATTATGTATGTGTATACATGTTGATAAATTAGACACATGTGCAACTCTTGGGTATCTTTATTGAGGAAACGTTTCGCCACACAGTGGCTTCATCAGTCCAAACGTAGGAGAAACTTGAAGAACAGGAGGAGAATGAGGTAATCAGTCCCTCAACCTTGAGTCGATGTGTTCAGTCCATCAATATCAGCGGAGAAGCAGCTTATAAACCGTATGGCAGGAGAGGTGCAGCAGTCATAGGTCATGTCACCTCTGCCATACGGTTTATAAGCTGCTTCTCCGCTGATATGCTATATTCTATTCAAGATTGATGGACTGAACACATCGACTCAAGGTTGAGGGACTGATTACCTCATTCTCCTCCTGTTCTTCAAGTTTCTCCTACGTTTGGACTAAAGATACCCAAGAGTTGCACATGTGTCTAATTTATCAACATGTCGGTTCTCTGAACCATTCATCTACATGTGTATACATACATAATACACATGGGGCCAGGAGCTATGACTCAACCCCTGCGACCACAATTAGGTGAGTACGCACATGCAAGCATGCATGCATGCATGTACATATTCATTTATGAAACCAGAGTCCCTCCAAATTCTTGTGTAGAATTTATTTATTGACCATATACAAAAGTTTATTTAATAATTTCTTTAGACTTTATTGTGAATTGGAAGGAAATCATTTTTGGATGTGCTGTTATAATTTTTAATAACCTGAAAATTACTAGGTTAGTAAAGAAAATATTAGCATCCTTGTTACCACCATTCAGTAAATTAAATTAAAATATTTATTTATAAAATTACAGATATTGCTTTTGGGATGATGTGATCTAATATATAAAATTGATATTTATTTCGGGCAAAAATTTAGCTAACATTAGTTTAAGTATATATTCTGTATATAAAAAGGTATGTAATAAGAGATGAATTGCTTAAATGAGCCTTACATTCTAGTCTAGTTATTAAAGATTAATTCATTAGTATATGTTGTTTCTATTAATAAATTTAAAAAGAAAAACTTTCATTTTACATTTAAGGTCACCTGCCTTGGTGGGATGCAGCCTTTTTTTTTTTTTGGGGGGGGGGGGGTAATAGTTTCTATGAATGTGCATTTGAAATAGGTGAAATACTGGAAAGATCAACTTTTTTTCTTTTAAGAAGGCTTCTACGTGGGGGGCATTATTACAGTGGGGTACTTATAATTGATTATTTCATATTAATTTATGTCATATATAGAGCATGGTCAGTATAGATACAATGGAACACTTTCTGCATATGCCAATATTCAGTCAGTTTTCTTTTTTACTTTTTCTAGTGCTTTTTAAATTGTATCTCTCTCTTCCAGAAGACTTGATTTAAAAAGAAAAAAGTTCAGTCATTAGCCTGTTCACCAGCTGGTTTGAGATGAAAGGCACTGATAAATTTCTGGCTGATTTGGTACCATTTTTTTGGCTAGTTATAACGCGAGTTCCAAGAAGTGTGGTGTTGAGCACTCATGAACATCAGTGTTATCCCATTTATTAATTCAGCTTTACTGATGGTAAGATTTCTATTCAGACTAAAATTTTTGCAGTTACTCTAAAGGGGTATAACAAACTAAAGGCATAAACTGTCATATTTTCTGACACATATGGCGCACGTTTTTTTTTTTTTTTTTTCCCCAAAAAAAAAAAGTCTTTGAAAATCACCCTGCATCTTACATGCTCAAGGTCAGGATCAAGGATAGGCTTTGGATCATGCTTTAGCAATTATTTACTAACGTTACATTACAACTGCTTGGAAACACTGTGTTAGTAAGCAGCCAAAACTCATGCACCTTATATGCAGGAAAATACAGTACGTTGTTGCAAGTAAAGTAATTATGGGTTTCTAAGTACCATAATAAAATCAATATTTCTTCTCGGGAGCATATTTCAGTATTACAATTAAGGTGTTGCATTTTATAATGCAGATGATTAATATTGATATGCTGGTTGCTTGTTAGGACACAAAGAGTGGGGTAAGAGGATTGTTATGCCAAATACTGGTGTTTCCTGCAGTAAATTCACCACCCATTTACTGTGCAGTAATAAATGACTCACAAGTTTAGAACTTTTTTATGGATAGTAATATGATTTAGTTATTTCTTCATATTATGTTTTGCAGTACTTCACATATGGGTGTGTTCACATGTTTTGCAGTAATTCACATATGGGTGTTTCCACATTATGTCCTGCAATGCTTCATATATGGGTGTATTGTACCAGGTATTTGAAAGAGGACAATTACTTAGCATTGGTGAGTACCCATTTGTATTTTAACATTTGTTTTGAATTATGGTGAATCTCATAGAATTTTTCTAGGTTTATACAAAAGTACTTTTAATGTGAAAAAGCTGCTTTCTCAAATGTTCAGAATGGTGTACCACTGTATACTGTACAAAATGGCATGTTATAATGACTTAAGATTTAGCACTTAGTTGTGATTATGATATAATGACTTAAGCCTAGGATATCCAAACAGTGCCAAAGAGGATTTATTTCCACCATTACACACATTCAAGTTTGTAATACAGTAGGACCCCCGTATCTGCAGGGGATACACTTCAGGGACCTGTTGTGGATACTGAAACCATGGATAGTAGCAGACTCTGTATATAAGTCCAGTTACATATTATGAAGTTTGATAAATTATGCATAATAAGTGGAGAATAATCACTTTTTCACAGCTTCTCTTAGGCTTTGAAGAACTGCCAGCTTTTCTACTTTTGCATTTTAGGGCCATTATTATGCAAAATTAAAAGGCATTTTTTGGCCACAGTAAACCATGGGTAACTGACACCACAGATACTAAATCAGTGGATACGGGGTTTCTACTGTATTTTGTGTGTGTTATCACTTTTAAATTTATTGAAAATTTATAATAATTTAGTGATTTATAAGGTTAATGTGCTACAAATTTTTATATTCATGGGGAAGCACTGAAACCCATGTGGGTCATATAGTGCCTGGGTGGTAATCAGGTTTGATCCAGGGAGGGGGAGGACAGCTCCAGTACCTTGAAAATAGACTGACAAAAATTTTCAATAACATTTTTCCCCTCCAAAAAAAAGCAATGCCTCAAAGCCTTATGGCAGGTAATTTTGTGCTGTTACGCTATGCATAATTTGTGCATGGCATATCATTCTTAATTATTTGTCTTAGTGAACCGGTGTCTTTGTTTAGGGGTATTGTAGCACCTTTGATGCTTTCAGTAATGTATTTTCCAGTTGTTGTATAGGTACACTGATCACTTTATTGAATTATGTATGTATTCTGTTTAGGCATTTTGGTGAGGAAATAGTAAAAGTTACATAATTTTGTCATTAAATATAAACTTCGTGCTGGGAGAATATCGTCAACAGAATCTTGTCAGTATAAACAATGTACTTGCAGATATGAGATTATATTAGATTAAAAAAAAGTGCAAGAAAACAATTTTATATAGGGCTAGGTATGAGTGTAAAAAATATATTTGTTATAAATATAATGACTGCCTTTATATACTGAATCTGTGTAATTAAAAATACAATGTAACATTTATTTTGTATTTATTAATCATTGTCAGATGTATTTGTTTCTATTAAAATACAATACTTCAGGGGAGGGTCTCTTTAAAGCTGATGAATGGCTCTTTGATCCAAGGAATGGGAACTACCCTTCCCTTGGATCAAACCTGATTACCTCCCATTCCTCTTGATGCTGGTGAGGCTCTTCCCCTTGGATCAGATCTGATTGCCTCCCATTCTCCAGGTGTTGTATGACCCCTTTGGGTTTAGTACTTCCACAAGAATATAATAGTCATATCCATCAAAAAAAGCCTATTGCCTACCAGTGGACTACAGCTCAAGGGGTAGACAACTTCAAGTGCAACTAATGTTGCATTCTATTGTGAGAACATTTCACTCTCCAGGAGCTTTATCAAGCTGTTTCGTAACGGCTTGATAAAGCTCCTGGAGATCGAAACGTTGCAGCAGTAGAATGTCACATTAATTGCACTTGTGTCAGTAATTCTACCAACATTAATAAAGGCTTAATTTCATTGAAAAAAAAATTAGAAGTACAGTTTAGAAGAGTACAGTAACAGGTAAAATTATAGGCATGATTATTACCCTTGAAGTGCTAAGTGCGTAGAGTTGTATAGTGCCTGGGCAGTGGGAGACAATCAGGTTCAACTTAAGAAATGGTTATTATATTTTAATCAGTGGATGTACTCAACTGGGAAAATGGAAGACAATCAGGGTCAGTCCAAGAAAATTACATTGCTCAATTTGATCAAAACCTTAGCTATTTCACTAGTATGCCTTCCAGTCAATCAATTAATCTATCAAAAGTGCTATGTAAAGTGTATAGAATTTGGTAATTTGGCCAATTTTAAACAAAATTATAAAAATCTAATATAAAACAAAGTCCAAAATAAACCATGTGGACATTCCAGACACTAAAACATTTCCTCTGTAATAATCACATCTCCAGGTCTCTCCTCCATTACACAAAAATCTAGGATTTACCCTATTTCTGAGATAAAATATAACCAGGAATGATTTATCATGGTTTATGGCATCTCAGCAATTGAATCAGACCTAATAAAAATCCATAAAGTAGACCAGGGGGTGTAGGAGAGGACTTAACCATCCTCAGGAATATAGGCAAAAATTTAATATTCTGGTGCTTTGAGGCCAAATTCAAACTACTTCCAGTCCAGGAACTAAAAATAATAGCTTGTTTCAGTAGAATGTTTTTTTACTATCAAATGATACCAAAAAACCATCCTAGAAAGCCCTTCAAATTCATTATTTTAAACCAAACAAAAGGTCAGATTATATTATAATCATGGGAGAGCACTAAACCCGTAGGATTATACAGCGCATGTGGGGTGGGGGATGGAAGGTATTCAGACAATTCAGGGAACCGGAGCACAGATCCAATACCCTAGATCAAGAGCCCCTCACCAGCATCAAGGAACCTCCCTTGAGGGGCATATAAGGTCAGAGTTTTGCATTTTTCATCATGCACTGCACAAGACAAAATTGTTTTTATACTGTGCACATTCACCACACACCCATTCTTTCACATCTAGGCCAAAATTTACTGCTCACAGCTCATCTAAGTGAGCTGAACTCATGACGTACATCTACGTGACGGACTCTGGCATCAGTAATGCAGTTCTACTTGACAGACAGTTAAAGGGTTAAAACTCCCAAGTTTTATAAATCACAATTAATATGTAAATGGCTTATTACAGCTCAACCTTTACTTTTAGTAGAATTCCCTCATGGAAGGTTTCTTGACCTAAGAAATTAGACCTGACCTTCTCTTACATGGATTAAACCTGCCTCTTCTTCTCCAGAGACTATGTAATTTCTACAGGGTTAGCGCTTCCCTTTCCACAAAAACAATAAAATTAAACTATTTTATAAGGAAAATCATTGTAAATAACAATTATTTTTATTTCTTTCTCCAGTAAATAAAATATTGCATAACATGACTTGCAAAATATCAGTAAAAATATTGCACAATAAATATTTCTTAGGTTTCTTTTGCAGCAATTCTCAAGTCTAATGCTGCACATTAATAAGGGACAAGTAAAAAAAAATTATTACAAGTTACATTAGACAACTCTTCAAAGACTTGTATAGAGTAACTTTTAACTACTCTTCCATGACTACCACATATGGAAACAAAAACAGTGTATAAATGCTGGCTGTACTGTAGGAAACAAAAATTAGCTGTGTAGTACATGTAATTTTTAAAATACTAACCTTTTAAGATGTGCTTGCATGTATAGATAAATTTTTAATATATGTAATAGATTGTGTACAAGAAAATTAACATAGCATTCCTTGTACATTAATTATGGCACTAAAATAGGTAGACTTGGCAGAATATACAACTTTATACACAAATTTTTAATGCTATAGCTGCAAATTCTATTATCCCAAGTATTTGTATATTAATATAAAAAGCAATACAGCTTAAAATCAGGAATTATATACTGTATCTGAATTGAGGCAAAATCAACACTTTGTTAAGGGGTGGACCAGTAAGCCAGCAGTAGGCCTTGGTCAGATGACCAAAAGCTCTAGTGGCAGGTCATCATATGACTAAGACCCCTGTCAGGAAAAACTTGTCCTGCTTCCTGACTGACCCTGCCTAACCTAACTGAATGCTTTGTTGCTGAATTGTGAACTGCACAGAAGGTATGACTTAGATGTTTAAAAAAATACTATAAAATTAAGTATAAACTCTTACTATCAACCACAGCAAGACATCTCATATACGTTCTGACATCTAGGTAGTCATTGGTGTACGGTGACAAGTAGAAATTCAAGAGTTTTTATTTTCCTCTCCCTATTTAGTCTTGGAATAACCATTCTGGCCTAACAAATTAGCACAGAATTATATGCAGTTTAAAAGAAAAACTTGAAAATATGCATGTTAATGCATAAAAAAGACTGATCAAACACTGTTACATGCCATTGTATAATTTTCAAAATATTTTATTCATTATTGTATATCTGTAACCTGAAATGAATTCAGCAACTTTATTTAGCACATTATGTCTCATCAAAAATATTCATATTCTTAATAAATAAGTTTACCCACTGCTATGGATTGAGATACACTGAATTTACATTCCAACTCGTATATATGTTAAGCCTAATGCAGCTTGCTAATCCATTTATGATTATAACAAGGTATTATTTTTATAATTTATCTTTACTACTTGTAAAAATAACTACAGTACTGTAGTCTCTGCATAAAAAATTCTTGCTGAATAAAAATTATTGATAAAAAAAATTCTTGTTGCATAAAAAAATTCTTGACTCATCTTTTGCTACTTTTTTTAATACTTTCTTGTGCCGAATCACTTAGTTTCTAGAAATAATTCCAATAAATATTAATACATACATTTTTCAGGACCTCAACCAACATTGGGATGCTGGAAATTTAGTGCTCTTCTACTTTGTGTTTCAATACCTGCCAACCATTTTTAATCAGACAGATCTGGGTTGTTGCTTGGCCACTCCAAAACAGGGATTTCATGCTGCCTTAACAAGAGTAGACAATCGTGTATTGCCAAAGGGATGAATGGTAAGCATGACAATGCTTCCCTCTAACATGGACTGTAAGTTACTGAGAACTTGCACTTGCCTCATATTTACCTGACTCAGTGGGATGAAAGATATATGACTAATTAATTTTCTTTATATAGTAGGAAAGGTGAGAAAAATGTTCAGAACTCAATCATCAGCAAACTTTTTTTTTGTTTCATGGCAAAGATTTTTTTTGCGGAGACTAACAGTAACCCGAGTTGTATGAATGCTTAAATGAGGTAAGGCAGTTTACAACCTAATATATACATAAGTACAATAAGCCTTGTGTCATTTATGGTTTTTGAATACTTGCTGTTATTTTACAAGGAACAAATTGGCCATTCATGACACAGCTCTTGATTAGCGGATTAGTGCTGTGCCTAATGCACAGTACATAATTCATTTTAGAGACACCACATTTTTTATATTAATTAAAAAGCAATGTTTATTTAACAAATGTAGTAATAACAAGATCATTATTTGTTAGAAGTGTATTATTCATTTGTCAAAATAAAAAGTGATGTAATATTCAAGTTCCTCACGAGTGATGACATTTAGCCTCTCTCTCTGTGGCGAAACTAATTAAGTCAGACTAATGTAGCTAGGAATTTCTTCCTTAAAAGTCATAAAAACACTTTACAGGGATTTAATGCAACATATATTGTTGCACTAAAAATACACTTTTACCATTCCGAATGCCTTTTACAATTGTGTAAATAAGGATTTAGGCTAGCATGAACTTTACCTGCATAGTAACTGGCAAGCACTTTAATCCTGCACTACTGAGAGTAAAATAGAATTTTAACTGGAACTTTTGATTTAGTTCTGCAGTCATTATTGATTCTTATTATTGTTCTAAAAACTTATTGATGGGCCAAAGTTTCAGCTTTACTATTGTTTGGTACTCTCAGCTGCACAGGAATAATGTGCTTGCCTGCTACTACAAATTAATTTTTGCACCCACATAGTTTGTCACAATGTGAAATCACAGTTTGCATTGATATGAGTGAAGGACATGTAAATTAAACATTACCTTAGGGATCAGTCATGAATAGAGGACGAGGTCAGTATCCCAGTTTCATTTCTTTTGTACCTTCAGTGACATAGTTGTAAGGTACTGTACTTTCTGCAATTATGCAAGTGTATTTGCACCCTGATACCTCCTTGTTTATATAATTTATGTTAGTGATAGTGTAAAATCCATTTCACAAGTTTTAATGCAAAATCATAAAAAAGCTAATTGAAGATATCCCCTTATCAGAATGTGTCATTTTATTTATACTGCATACTGCTTCACTGCTAGTTTTCTTCCCCTCTCTCTCCTACAGTAGTGGCAGTGTTTAAAAATAACTGTTTTCTTTTGTGTACAATTTACTACCTACATTACAGTATAGCATATATATATTTTATAAAATCACAGTAATACCTCAGATTAACGGATGCCCATTTGACATTTCAGAAACTCCAGTACAGACCACTCTTCCCCTCTGTCTGCTTTCATTATTTCCACATTATTGTCTGTGCTTGCTCACACAAACATTCATCATTCAGTCTCAAATTTTCCCTGGATTTTGTGTGATTTTATTAACATGTCAGGTAAAGTGAAAATTAACAATGGCTTCCAAAGTAAGTGGTGGTGGCAAGAGGAAACATGTGAATCACAATGTTAAGCAGAAACTTGACTAAGGAAAGTTGAGCCTGATGTCTCAGTGACAAAGTATGTGAAGAATAGGGTGTTAAGAAACAGTCAGTATCCATAGAGGCAAGGACGAACTTACAAGCTTTACTCTTGAGTTTAGTGTAAATGCTAGTGGAGCTTTATAGCTCCTCTCACTTACAACAGAAATTATTCTAAGTCACCACTATTGATCATGGTAGTTTACACCTCATCTCCACCACAAAAGTTAAGTAAAATAAATTATATTGTCCTGTACTGTACATGTGTGTTTCAGCTTTTTTTTTTCTGACATTATACACTATTACTATGCTGTTTTACAAGTTAAAATATTCTTGGTGTCTAATGGACCAAGTCCGCTAATTCTCAACTTTGCTCACGTTACGATCATGAAAAATAAATTACGTAATTTAGAATTACGGACATTTGGCAATAACATGCACCCCCCATCCCTTCCTATTAATCCATTAATCAGAGTGTTATCCTCACTGTATCTAGAAAAATAAAGAACCTTTTTAATAAATCTTTGTACATAACCCAAAAAAAAAAAAAATGGATGCTAACATTGTGTGTTATGACTCAGCAAAGCTCTATGATGGTGATAAATATATGCATTGTGGAATGCTGTATACGACTGATAGACTTTTAAATGCATTTTGTAGACTTTACTGACTACAATATAAACTAATACTAGAATGCATTGTAGATGTGTATAACTATTTTTTTTTTTTTAACAAGTCGGCTGTCTCCCACCGAGGCAGGGTGACCCAAAAAGAAAGAAAATCCCCAAAAAGAAAATATTTTCATCATCATTCAACAATTTCACCTCACTCACACATAATCACTGTTTTTGTATTCTGAGCACCTCTGCTAAAACAGTGATTATGTGTGAGTGAGGTGAAAGTGTTGAATGATGATGAAAGTATTTTCTTTTTGAGTGTTTTCTTTCTTTTTGGGCCACCCTGCCTCAGTGGGAGATGGCCAACTTGTTAAAAAAAAATAGTTATACATCTACAATGGATTCTAGTACAGTGGACCCCCGGTTAACGATATTTTTTCATTCCAGAAGTATGTTCAGGTGCCAGTACTGACCGAATTTGTTCCCATAAGGAATATTGTGAAGTAGGTTAGTCCATTTCAGACCCCCAAACATACACGTACAAACGCACTTACATAAATACACTTACATAATTGGTTCGCATTGGGAGGTGATCGTTAAGCGGGGGTCCACTGTATTAGTTTATATTGTAGTCACTAAAATCTACAAAATGTATTATACAGGGATTTGCAAGAACCAAGCTCAATAATTTTAAGATATTATAACTCATTTATAGTACCATATTTTAAAATACACAATACTGTATATTAGTAATTCCCAGAACAATGCAGTAGTAATTCTAAACATACTTTGAAGGAGAAAAGTAATTGATAACCTTCCTCTCATTCTTTCATGTCATCCTGTATTGGTGAGTACAGTACTGTAGTGTATTTATTGCATTATTCATTTTGGAACCTGATGGTTGTGATGGCAATTGATGAGTAATTTCATCAAAGAAGAAGCAAGCATTACACATGCTTACACACAAAATATTGTGCCAAATTAGTCCATCTGTTCCTCTCCCTCCCCTTCATTTATGAGACCTTTAAATTTTTTTCAACAACAATAAGTCAGCCGCCTTCCACCGAGGCGGCCGACATAATAATCTTGTGCACTTTAATAAAATTTTAAAAACTCGCGAATTAGAAAATGTGAAAATCTTTAAGCAGAGCCTGCCTATTCCCACACACACTCCCTCTTACCTTTATTTTATTTTAAAATTAATCATTAAATTGTAAGCAAGCAATCTAACACCATTTAATGAACTAAAAATAGAAATACTGTACAACTAGATCTAGGTTGCAATGGAAGTTAGTAACCTCACCTGCTGTGTGGGTGAACAAACAGTCAGGCTCATGCAAGCAAACTGGTTAGTGATGCTGTGTAATTGGCATCTCACTTAATATCCATTGTTTATACAGTACAGTAAATTTGTATACTGTATAATGTCACTTGTATATAGTTTTATGATAAAATGGGCTATACTTTGATAACCCATAATTTTTTGCACCATAGCATGTTTTCACAGCATGGTAGTACAGGGAAATAAAATTAGAGAAATTTTAACTGTCTCGTTTCCTGGTCATATCCACTTGATCAAAATATCTTTATGTTCCTGTAATGTTTCTATACATGCACTGATTTTTTTCAACGTTACTAATACTATTTATAACATGCACACGATTATTTTATATATTTTAAAGGTACAGTACTGTACAGCATTTCAGTGTAGAACACACTTTATGTCTGTGTTGTTTGGATTTTCTTTGCATGTGACTATACCCCAGCCCACCTTTGTGCAATTTTTTTTTTCTGTTTAAGAGGCTATGGGAAGCATTTTATCCCTTAGTGTTAATTATCATTTAGTGGGGAGTGCTAAACTCGGTCATGCAGTGCCTGGGGAAGTAGGAGGCAATCAGTCTTGATCCATGGGAAGGATAGATCCACTTCCTTGGATGAAGAACCCCACACCAGTAGTAAGGAACCTTTCTTGAGGGGTCCCTTGGTTGTAGAGGGTCAACAGTTACCTTTAGGTGGCCATCTCCTGGATGGCAGAGTTTTTTTTTTTTAGCATGTCTTGCCCCTCAAGGAAAGTTCCTTGATGCCAGTGTGAGGTTCCCAGTCTTACAGATTGGACCAGACCTTTCCTTATTTAGATAAACCTGATTGCCTTCCATTCCCCAGGAGCTTTTTGACCGCTACAGGGTTAGTGCTTTCCCCCACAAATGTATATACGTGTAATTAGTATGTCTTACCTAGTAGTAGCACAACCAGGGTTTCAATGTGATAGGGACTTGAAAGTTATAAGATGCTGAAAAAATCAAAGAAATAGTCTTTAAAAATGTGTTATACTATAAGTCCCATTCCTTCTCAGTATTCAATAATTTTCATTTTATTCTAAATTTATTATTTTATTTTAATCATAGGTAAGCTCTAAACTTGTAGGGGTCACATAACACCTGAGGAATGAGAGGCATTTAGGTTCAATCAAAGGAAGGGGAGGATAAAACCAACCTCTTTCTGACCTCCCTCAAGGGCTATTATAAACTGTTTTAGCTTTAGTTCTGCAAGAAATGTTGTACATTTTATGGACACAATATCATGACCAACAGTAATTTTTCAAAACAAGTAGATGTTATAATGTATTGTTCAGAAATAAATAATTTATTCTGTGACTAGCTCTGATGGCACTATGAACATTGGGCTAAAAATTCATACAGCCATACTGTATTTCCTGTATTCTACTGGCAATAATACTGAGATTCTATAAAAACTCTTCATCAAGTAGTTAAAAGTATTGTAGTGGTCTTGCCAAAAAGTGATATGGATTATAGTAATTGTGCCAATGAGCTGACTGGCCCAAGTTGGTAAATGTTTCTAGATTATTTTTATTAGCAGGGATTTGAAGTTAAGGTTTAGCTTTCGTACATGTTATTGGTGCATGCATGTAATGCTTGAAGAGGAAAAGTATAAAAAATTCTATGCACAAATTGTTGATAATAACAATCATGAAATCGGAGGAAAATGGAACTCGTCTGACAAAATTACATGAAAATGAAATATATTGTTATTAATAACCCTTAAATGGTCCAAACGTATATATATATGTTTTTTCAACATTTGAAAGTATGTAAAAAAAATGTAGATCTTCTTTCTTCTTTTACATTTGAAAATGTGTAAAAAAAACTTTTATCTACATTTTTTTTTTTGTTATATTTGAAAATATGTATAAAAACAGATCTACTTTTGGAGCACTACGGATTTGAACGTCTATCTGTTTGGACCGTTTAAGGGCTAAATGGAGAGAACTTGTATGTAAATACTGCTTCATTCGAGTGCACTAACTTTTTTCTATTATCCAATCTACTCCAGGTCCCATAATGGTCAGAGTACATGCAAATTTACTGTATTATGCTTTAATAAAAAAGTTTGAAGAACATGCCCATTACTATATTATGCTTTAATTAAAAAGTCTGGAGAGCATGCCTATTTAATGTATTATGCTTTAATAAAAAGTTACATTTTTTGAAAAAAAAAAAAAAAAAAAAAAAAGTACATGCAATAAAGGCAAGAGAATGCTAGACTACAAAATTTTTATACTCATCAATGTTGACTAACAAACAGCTGAAAGATATTTGGGATGGGTATGAAAAAAAATGGTAAAGATTTACAAATAATGAACATAAAAAGAACACCCAAAATGTTATCTGACATGTTTTTTCTTCCCATTCCCTCTTTCTGACCTGTCTTGTGATCTTCAAAACTTCTTGTTCTTTTGTGACTTGATAACAGTCCGGGATGGACTGAAACATTGTCTATAGTTTCCTCACAAGAGTGAGAGGAGTTCTCGTGGAAGAAGTCCAAAACATATTTCAGCACAGGGATTGATAAGAGGCAGGTCAATAGAGAAACTATCTTTGTGAATGGAGCAAATTAATATAATATAGGATGTTATATTAAAGTTATGAGTGATAAGAAGACTAAAATTTAAATTTTTACACTTACACATTATTTAAGCTGCAAGTTGTTAAAATAAGAATATGCACAAACTTTTTATATTAATAACTTAAGGACTCATTCCATATTGTCCCACAATTTGGAGAGAAAACTTTAGATGATGTTTTGGTCCATCCTGGACCATTATCAAGGCAGTATCTGTCATAACCTGATACTAGTCAAAGATGAACTAAAGCAGTGCCAAAATTCCTCCCTATATTGCCAGTGGAGGTAATGAAGATGTCATATTTGAAGGCAATGTGTGGTGTGAATATGTTATGCATGGAGATTTGGATGTTTGGGGGTTCCTGAAAATATATAAAGGCTGAGAAGGAATTGAGGTGGCTTTGACATTTATAAGGGATGGAGCAATAAGTTGACTAGGAGGGTGTATAAATCTGCTGGGATGGAGGGGTAGGGGGTCATCCTAGGACTGATGAGGAAGGGGGGTATTAAAGGTGGTTTAAAGCACTAGGAGCTTGGACCCAACAAGCTTGTGTGAGTACATTATATAGGAGTGGGTGGACATAAGTGGTTTTTAATACTTGATGTACTGATGTTGTGTAAGCAAGGTAACATTTATGAAGGGATTCAGGGAAACCGATTAGCTAGACTTGGGTCCTGAAGGTGGGAAGTACATTGCCTGAACTCTGAAGGAGGGATGGGGATTGAACAAGTGACGGTGAAAGTGTTTCTTCTTTTTTGGATCACCCTACCTTGGTTGGAGATGGTCAGTATGTTAAAAAAAAAAAACTGTCAGTGAACTATTCCAGCCATGGTATTGTGAATTTTATTAAGGGCTCATTACTACAGTATTGATAAAACGTGTGGTAGTGTTAGGCATCAGCCCTGCCTCCTGTACACATGAAACTAGCATTGCAATGGCTATTGCTCTTCCCTTTAGTTTTTTATAAATAAGCATACTGTAATACAATACACTCATAAAAAGTAAAAACATACTTATTTATCTTAAAATCTGTGTAGCAACAAAGTTACAACTACAAATGAGAAATAATGGGGTGCAAATTTCCATTAATATGTTTTTTACAAGTTTATTATTTAAATTCTACAGTACAGTACTAAGGATTCTAAATTAATTACACAATAACTTAATACTGTATATATACAGTACAAATATTGTACTGATAATATAAACAAACTTTTAGGGTAAAATTATTAGTTATTTTCAGAAATAAGCACAAATGATAGCTGGAGTGTTCAACAATAAAAAATTAAAAGTGGTACATTAAAATCAACTTCAGATTTTTATCAAAAAAAACAGCCAATTTGTGAAGCAATCTACAGTACATACTATATAACGATAAGCTTTCTGTGATAAAACCGCTAAATCGTCCAAAGTTATTCTTTTCAAAACAGCAATTTAACACCATAAAATGCCCACAGGATTTCAATGACAAGATACTGTACATGTTATACAGTATATAATGCACTCAAAAACAAATAACAGCACACCTTCAAGAATGTCCTCAGTCTCACTTTGAAGCTTTAATCCTGGCATTCTAGGAGTGATGTGTGATGCTCATCAAACCCACACCTGTTGATAGATAATAATGTTGATAGATAATAATGTTGATAGATAATAATGGGTTATAATTAGTTCAGGCAAAAGGAAATTACTAGAGTACATTAAACAAAAATCCTGCTTGCTGTAACACAAAATATAAAATATGATTAATTACTAGCAGTTTTTTAACCAGTTTATGTAAATCAGAGCAAAAATTGAATTATGTACTGTACTATATAATAATTTGTTTAATCCAAGTGAGATTTAAACGTGGTATTAATATTACTTTAAATCTGTAAAGCAAATCACATCTTTAATATTGTAACATAAGAGCTGGTTGAATACAGCATAGAAAGAAAGTATAAAAACACTTAAGTCAGTTTCCAAGATCTAATTTGTTTATTACATATAACAGAATCTAAAGCACAATGTTCCTTACATGCACAATAACCACATTTGTTTGCTTTCACAGTTTCCCGGTACATGAAGATCTGATCTAAATGCATGCAATGATAATGTAAACTCAGGTGAATATAGTAGTCCATAATAAACATGGTAAATTTTATATTATTATTATTATAATCAAAAAGAAGCGCTAAGCCACAAGGGCTATACAGCGCTGCAGGGTAGGGAAGGAAGCAAGGGAATTGGATGGCAGGAGGGAGGGGGGATGATCAGCAGGTTACAGAAAACAGCGGGGCAGGGGATAGTACGGGGGTAGAGGGTAGCAAGAGATACAAGTAGAAAGGGCTGAAAGTATCAGAATTTGTGAAGTAAGTCAGTCGTTATCAAAAAGTCAATAAGAGAGTCCGGATGAAAGGTGGGTCCATCAGCGAGAAGGGAAGGTAAAGAGAGAGCAGCGGGGCGAAGACGACGACAGAGGTAAATTCTGCGTGCTCGTTGTAAAGTGGGCAGTCCAACAGAATGTGGCTGACTGATAATGGAGCTTGGCAATTCTCACAGAGAGGAGCAAGACGCCTCTCCATGAGATATCCATGAGTAAGACGAGTATGGCAATGCGAAGACGGGAGAGAGTAGTCTCCCAGCCTCGACACTGGTGATAAGAAGACGGCCAGTAACCTATACTCGGTTTAATAGACTGAAGTTTGTTGCCGAGCATAGTAGACCAACGTTGTTGCCAACGGGTGTGAAGGTGGGAAGATATTACAGCAAAAATAGTCCGTACATGGAATACCTCTGTAAGAAACTGGTAGGTCATGTACTGCTGACCGCGCAGCAGTGTCTGCCTGTTCATTGCCCTGTACGTCAACATGACCAGGGACCCAACAAAAAACAATATCTTTATGCTTAGTAAAGATGCGGCGTAGCCAAAGTTGGATACGGAGGACTAAGGGGTGAGGTGTATCAAATTTTTGTATAGCCTGTAAAGCACTAAGGGAGTCTGAGACAACCACAAATGATGACACAGGCATAGATGCAATACGGATAAGTGCTGTAAGGATGGCATATAATTCAGCAGTAAAAATACTAGCTGAAGATAGTAAATGCCCTTGTACGACGCTGTCCGGAAACACTGCTGCGAATCCTACGCCGTCAGAAGACTTAGAGCCATCTGTGTACACAGCAATGGCATGAGAATGAGAGTGAAAGTGGTCAAGAAAAAGAGAGCGGGAAGCGACCGTAGACAGTTGGGCTTTCGAGCAAGGGAGGGAGAAAGAACAGACTCAACAGGGGCCCCCAGGGGGGTAGGAAAAGTGAGATGCTCAGGGTACATAGAAAGGTGGTAGTGAAGAGAAGCAAGAGCAAATGAAGGCGAAGAGAGAGGCGAGTAAGCAGGGCGGGAAAAATAAAAATGTCTACTAATACAGTGACCTTCTATAAATGGAGGATTGGGGAGATCATGAGAGGAAATTGTAGAGCAGGCAATGGGCATCGGCGATCGGAAAGGAGGGAAAAGCGCTTTGCATAGAGGCTTTCGACAGGGAAGAGCGAAAAGCCCAAAGGGGCATAACGAATCTTGGTGTGATGGGGTTAAGGCTAGAGAGGTAGCAGGAGATCGTGAATAGATCTGGTAAACCATAATCAGTTTCGATAAATAAGGGTGGAATGTTGGGAAGGAGGGTTCACGATCAGTCCCCACGAAAGATGACAGGGTTTAAAAGGGTTCAGCGGCTGTGACAAGTTGCTTAGAAGTAATGTGAGGGTTTCCGGGTAACCCTACGATCAAAAAAAAAAGGGGCCCAGAAACCCTTGACTGTATCACTTCAGGGATCGGACCATAGGTACAAAGGTATCGAGATGACAGAGCGTCTAGTGAAGTGATTTGGTGGGTTTAGTGCTGGAAATTAAACCCATGTGTGGGGGCCCCAATTTGGAAAAAACGGCCCGACTGCATGCGGAGAGAAACTGTAAGGAGGTGACAGTAGCGCCTGCACAGCAATACCCGAAGCATAAACTAGATTTGATGACCAAATTTGATGGAAGATAGAGGCCAAATCATTAATCAAGAGAAAAAGTGTGGCTCAGAACACTCCCTGGGGACACCTTCAGCTTGGACAAAGTCCGGGGCAGCACCATATTAACCCGAACCGGAAATGCCTGTCAGTTTAAAAGTTCTTAAGGAAGGAGGGTTTAGATTGCCTCGAAGGCCTAAGGAGTGGGCTTGGGCTAAAATATTATACCTCCAAGTTGTGTCATATGCCTTCTCAAGGTCAAAAAAAATATGGAATAACTGAGTGGTTATTCGCAAAGGCATTACGAACATACGTACCCAAGCGCAGAAAGGGGGTCTATGGTAGAACGTCCCTTACGAAAAGCCATATTGACGAGTGGAGAGACTGTTGTGTGTCTCTAAATACACACTAACGTCTATTTACTAGACGTTCCATTATTTTGCAAACTGCACTGGTAAGAGCAATGGGACGATAGTGGGAGGTTTCATGTCCCGGAGTGCCTGGTTTGCGGAAAGGGGAAAAGAACAATGGCGGTTTTTCCACAGCTGTGGAAAAAAACTCCTTGTGACCAAATAAGATTGAAAAGGTGTAATAGGACTGCAAGGGCTGATGATGTAAATGTTGTAGCATACGAATATAAAATGTCGTCGGGCCCAGCTCCCGATGATCGAAAAGCTGAGAGTGTTGCCTCCAGTTCTTGAAGTGTAAAAGGCACATTATACTGTTCTTCTCTGAGAAAAGAAAAGTCCAAGGGTGCTAACTCTCGGGCAGACTTTGAGGAAAAGAAATGAGGGCATAGATGGAGTCCCTGAGAAATACGGACCAGATGATTGCCAATTTCATTGGCAACATCTGTGGGTTTGCTATATTCAACACCGGCCCAACCCCGCAGAACAGGAGCCGGGTCAGGAGAATATTTACCACTCAGTTTTTCGTACTTTTTCCAGACTGCACTCATAGAGGAAGCAGAGGTGATGGTGGAGACATAATCTCGCCAGCAAGTGCGTTTAGCGTCACGGAGGGACACGGCGAGCGATCGCACGCTTCTGTTTAAAATAAAGGGAGTCGCTCTGTGGTTCTATTGACCGGTACCTGCCCCATGCAGCGCGTTTCAAACGTACTGCACGAGCACAAGCGGAGACCACCAAGGCACGCATTTCTGAGAATGCCTGCCCAAAATTTTGGGGGTTTATAGAATGAGAAGCTGCGGTGAAAACGGAGGACGAGAAGAGGTGTAAAAGCTCATCGATGGGGGACGAAGAAGGAACCTCTTTAAAACAGTCAGGTGTGAGTAAAGGTTCCAATTTGCCCGATTAAATTGCCAGCGGGGGGTTTGCGAAGAGGTGGCGAATATGAAGGGGAAGTAGAATGATTGGGAAATGATCACTGTCATGTAAGTCCGGGAGAACAGACCAAGTAAAGTCTAAGCGGCGGAGGAAGAGCAAACTGAGAGATCGATGAAAGAGAGAGTATGAGCCCGAGGATCAAAATGGGTGTGAGTAACCTGTATTTAAAACATGGAGGGGGTGGGTGGCAAAAAAAAGCCCCCTAACTGAATTCCACGGGAATCACAGTGAGACCTCCCCAGAGGAAATGGTGGGCATTAAAATCACCAAGTAGCAGAATCGGTGGCGGTAATGACGAAACAAGGAAGGCAAAACCCGGAATAGATAATGCCGAGAAGGAGAGAGATATAAAGAACAGAGCGTATACCCCCTATGTAAGTGGATACGGGCTGCTGTGTTATGCAGCGAAGTTGAAAATAGCTGATGGTACGGAATATCAGTGGGGAAAGAAGAAGGGCACTTTCATTAAAGGCCCCATCAGGAAAAGGATCTGAAGAATACAAAAAAATTATAGCCTGAGATGTGAGAAATAACAGCAGAGTGTAATTTTGGTTCCTGTAAGCAAACACCAACAGGGCAAACTGGGAGAGTAACATCTGAAGCTCACCCCGATTCCCCCTGAGGCCGCGTATATTCCACTGTAAAAAGGCCATGATTGGCAATGATAAAGATACTTGAAATCCGCAGGTAAGGGTTTCCTACGGACTAGAAGGGTTAGAAAAGTCCACATGCGGAGGCAGTGGAAAATGTTCAAGCAGCGAAGGAACGGTGCGCTGTGAAGAAAGGAGTTGCGCAGTGGAGCAGAGGAGAGAGGAAGAGCGGAAGGTGGATCAGTGTCCATTGATGGTTTGGTCTCTGCAATATATTCAGAGATTGCTTCAAGTGTTTCGGGGAAATTTAGAGATGTCGTATGGGAGACAATATTGGGAATGGTAGGGGGAGGTTTAGTAAAGATTGGAACTGTATTGGACTGTACCAAGGTAGGGGGGGGCGAAAGGGTGGAGGGAACTGGAGAAGCGTGGCAGGGGACGAAAAGAGACAGGAACCTGGGAGGTGGCAGAAGAGGAAAAAACTTGGGAGGGAACAGGGGAGGAAGGTACATTACGAGGAGGAGGGTGAAAACCCCTGCACTTGTAACTGAGCCAGTGAGAGGGGAAGAACTAGGGACAGAGACAGGGAGGGTAAAAAAGAGGAAAGGGGGAAGATGGGTAGGAGGTGTTACCGGGCCTTTTTTTGACTTTTGAGAAGTAGAGGAACGATTGGGAAGAGG